ATGAGCAAAGTGTGTCCGTCAAGACTCTGGGCTCTCCCTTGACCAGGATTTCTGCGTGTTTGCCATGGCTTGGTGTCCAGACTTGGTGCCTCACTAATTGGACCTTCCAAGCCCTGGCTGAATAGGAGTCTCATAACCAAGAACAGTGGTAATTTGAAAGACTCCTCGAGTGGGCTAGCGGTGCACCCATGCTGGGCCGTAGGCTCCTGTCCAGTGTCTCCCCATTGTCAGCCAAATTCAGGGCTTGACACAAATTGGACCAGGATTAGTTTTCATGTTTAAGTCATGATGGAAAAGAGGAAAGAGCACGGGCAGTATTTTGTGAGTGTAAGGGGTTAGTCATCATGAGTGGGAACCAAGATTATTTTCCCAGAAGCACCTTTAGTACAGAGCAAAGGACTGTACGTGTTTCGACCTCCTATGTTGTGTTCTTGCTCTCACCCTCATAAATGCCCATCCTTTTTCAAGTGGGATGGAAATTTTCAGTGTGACTCAGTCACGTGATTATTGTGAGGATCAAATGAGTTAATAATATATATTTAAAGTTGTTGGAACAGTAACTGGCAAAGAGTAAATGCTTGATAAATACGCTGTTGCTGTCATCAGTGTGATTACGCACCCTTTCCTCCAGTTATGCCACACGCTTTTTGTTACCTACTATGTGTATGTGGTGGGTGTTTGGAGAATAAAATATTTTTTAAGTAAAAGGAGATAATTCTTGACTTCAAGTTTTTCTGGAGTCAGTAAAGGAGCAAGAAGAGTACACGAATAACTGGAATACAGGTGAGCGTGTTAAATGCTTGACTACTCAGGTGTCCAGGCCAACGACCATGGAGAGAGTTAAAGATGATCCCAGAGTGACAATTCTTAGCTGGGCGTGGTAGCTCATGCCTGTAATCCTAGCACTCAAGGAAGCCGAGGTGGGAGGATTAATAAGCTCAGGAATTCGAGACCAGCCTGAGCCCTGAGCAAGAGTGAGACCTCTTCTCTACTAAAAATAGAAAAAATTCACCAGGTGTGGTGGTTTGCCTAGTCCCAGCTACTCAGGAGGCTGAGGCAGGAGGATCTCTTGAGCCCAGGAGTTTGAGGTTGTCATGAGCTAGGCTGATGCCACTGCACTCAAGCCCAGAACAAGACTCCATCTCAAAAAAAAAAAAAAGTCACAATCCTTGAAGGTACACAGCACAATGGTTAACATGGTAAATGTCGAAGCGTGTTAAGTAAATATTGCGATTGCTTCTCAGGCAGGAAGTCTCTTCCATGATCCCTGAAGCAGAATCAGGAGTCCCCTCCCCTATCCACATTGCACCCCCTCATGCCTCTGCCTTTGTTGCAACACCTCTTGCACTCCCCTAGCCCTACTGTTTTACACGCCTGTTTCCCCCATGCAATTTTGTGCTCTCAACAGCAGAGACCTGTCTTCATTTTCATAATCCTCAGAGCCAGGTAAGTACGGGGGACATTATTGGCCAGGTCAGTAAGGGAAAGTGGGGGACATGTCAGATTTAGTCATGTTGTAAAAAGAAATGGAAATTGACTGAAACAGTGTGTTCTTAGTTCCCCGGTCAAGTCCTAGGAAACACATTCGTTTGGGAGGTGCTCACACACCACTCCTAGACTCGCGACTGAAATCCACTTCAGGGTCACCTTCATGGCTGGCAGAATGCATCTTCTTGCTGTTTGAAAACTAAAATTGTATTTGTGCATTTCTAATTCCCTGCAGTGGCTTTGTGATAAACAAAACAAAACAAACCCCAAGTGGACTTCAGAGTTAGACAGCCCCCAGGCTCCGTTCCTCATCTGCAAAGTCATATCACTGTTCCCTCTTGGGGTTCCTGCAGATAAACAAGCAATGCCCATGGAAGTGCCCGCACTCAGGGGCCTTGCTGATGGCGGTTCTCATTGTCAGCAGAGCCTCAGGATAACCGACTGTGATTTCGTGATCTCATTTGTGAGTTCTCAGGAGATGCAAAAACATGTAGCGGGGTGGGTAAGCTCTTAAGATGCCATGATTCAGAACCGATAAATAAAGGGAAAGAACTAAGTATTTATTTTGCCTTTCCCATATGAACTGTACCACTGATCAACCAAATAATGGAGTAAAATTTTCTCTTTTAAAAATACCTAGCTACTTGAGGAAAGAATGATAAAATTACCACTAACTTGCAACCTCTGACCAATGGATGGATCCAGTTAATGATCAACAGCTTCTAACATCACCCAAAGAAATATAGTCAGATATTATGAGCCTTCTAATGGCAGAGCGCAGCACCCCCTGTGAAATAGTCTTGTCAAAACACAAAAATTGAACCCAAATTCGACCAAGCTTCTGAGTATAACTTCTACAATGTAGGAAATGTTTTTAGAGTTGGAATCAGCACAAATCCGTACTGTAGGAAACTCTGTAAGGCAAACAATTAAATCTCTGCACAAAGAGAAAAAAGGAAAATGCATAGAAAACTTTAGATTTAAAGATACCAATGGGATATATCAACCAAGCAAAATATGTAGACATTATTTGGATCCTGATTTTCTAATGTATTTTTCTAAAAGACAGCCATGTATGAGATAATTGGGAAAAAAGATCTTATGAGTTATCTTGAACTTACATTTCCCTTCAATGATACACATTTTCTCCTGCCCAACCCCAATACCATTGTCCTGGATAAAGAACACAGAATCGAGAGGGAAATTGGGTCATGCCTAAACCTTGAGGGGCCTGGGCCAAGAGTACAAATATCCCACTTACCGTATGTCTAAATATCTAGAAGTTAAACATGCTCTTAGCTGTGGTTAAGTTGTCTGCACCCACCCCCAAGCCCCCAAAAAACAGAGCCTTGGAGAAGGGCCATTGTGAGGATTAAGTAAGAGAGTGTTACATAGCATCTACCCTGTGCCTGGCGCCGGGTGGCCTCTCCAGGAGACAGATGTGTGAAGGGACAGAAGTGCTACTCCATGCAACGGGACCAGGGCCAGGGGTTGTGCCCAGGGCGGTGTATGCAGCTTCAGGGACTGAGGGAAGGGGCACAGGCTGAAGGTAATGTACCTTAGTATTTGGTGCAATTTGCCTGGAAATGTACAAAGAAGAATAAGTTGATAGTTTTCCCATGGAGTCCCAAAACTTCTTTAAGACTTGCTCTGCACCTGACTGGATGGTAAGCAGCTTGAAGACAGAGCTGCATATTTCTCTCTGGTAAATCCCCAGCTCCTAGCATATTGCCTGGCACATAGTAAGTGCTCAATACAAAAGTGTTGAATAAACAATTCCAAATTGGCTTTATTGCTTTTAATGGAAGACTTATTTCATATGTTGGCCCTAAAGTCTCACAGGCATCTCAAATTGGAATCATTTCCTTCCTCAAAGCTGCGCCTCCCCCAGTTCCCTGCGTCAGTGGGCAGGCAGCAGTGCCCCCTGCCAAGCCAGCACCTCCTCCTCACCACTCCTTATACCCACTGGCATGTCCTGGTGATTCCACCCACTTGGTAGCTTTTGAATGTATCTGATTCACTACCTCAAAGCTAGTTCAGGCAGCTGTTCTCTCTCTCCTGAGATACTATGGCAGCCTTTTAGCTGCTCACTTCACACCCACTTGTGTTCCCTGAATGTGTCCTCCCCGGTGCAGCCAGAGTGGCCTTCACACCTTTGGCCACTTCCCTCCTGGGCTGCAGGGTAAGGCCCACGATCCTTGGCACAACCTGCAGGGCTCTGTGGCGTCATCCGCCATGCTAGAATGCCAGATCCCTGGGAATACGCTTTGTCTTATTTCTCTTTGTATCTCCTGTAATCAGCCAGAAACTTACTCATTGCTACACAAATGAATAAAATGTTTAAAAATTTTAAATATGTTTTTGATCTATTGAGAAAATTGGAAATTTAAACTCATAGACAAACTACCCAACATCAGAGATGAGTCAGGCCCCAGCCGATGGTGCCTGGAGTAACACCCGATAAGTCCGCGGTGTGGGGCAGGCCCATACGCACAGGGGCTACTTTGGTGCTGTGCATCGGGCTCCTTGCACTGACCTTCCTCTGTATACGGAATTAATTTACTCCCAGAGTGAGTCACTGGGCTATTTCTAGAAATTGCCATCTTTCTCTGGAGTGATCTCTACTGATATCTGACACACTTAAGACATGTGGCTGCTTGAAGAGCCTGTGCTAGTCTATTTTGGAGAACCTGTCCTCAGGAGTTCATCTTCCAGCCGGAAGAGTTATCCAGAAATCATGGAACTGGCTGATCACGCCAGCCCTGCCTGCACATAAGCTTTCTTTTCTCTTCACTCATGGGGGCACTTTACAGTGTTTGCTGAAGGGAAAGTGTCCATGGCCTGATTTCTGGTACAAGGATCCTGCCACATTGACAGGTGTTATCTGTTTGTCTGATTGGACAAGCTACTTAACATCTCTGCGAATCAATTTACTCATCTCTGAATGGGGATAAAAATTATCCCCATTCAGGAAAGGTTATTGTGAGGACTAAATGAGATGGGTGTGCATTGGGTTTAGCATCCCATTGTAAAGGTTTCCTGAATGTCAAGTATTATTAGTTATTTTTTTACGCTTTGTTTTAAAGAAGGGTTTCGGGGGGCTACAAAAACATGTGCCAAATTATTATAAGATAAAAACAAGGAAATGAGAAAAACAGGGTCAAGAGAGACATTGCATTATCCCAGAAAATTATAAGGTTTTAGATTCCTTACATCAGATACCCACCTGGCCGCTCATGCGTTCATTTGCTCGTTCCGCACTTAACCCTGAGCAGCTCTTCAGCATGGCGGCGTATACAAAGGAGTGAAAGACGTTTGTGCCTCGGGCTGGGAAGAAGAGCCCAGAGATGTCCAACTAAAACACAGGGCAGCAGGAACTACAAGAGACGGAGAACAGTGCGCCTGCCAGGACTTGCTGGGAGGCCACGTGGAGTGGCCCTTGTCCATGACGAGCTGGGTTTGCGGTTACTTCCCCGTCCTGATGACATATCTGCTTTGTGTTCACATTTTAGCAATCATCTTGGAGGCTAAATGTGACAACCAAGAAGATGGCCAAGATCAACACCGAATACTCCCACTCCTCCCTGACCTGCCCTGCAGTAAAGACCTCGGACAGAGATCTTGATCGCGCTGAAAATGGCCTCAGCAGGTAAGACGGTTTTCCTTCTGCACCTGGCACAGGACATTTCCATAGCTGGTCCAGACCGTGGGGAAGAATGCCTTGGCGCTGGCCAGCCAAGTGTGGGAGGGCGGAGGGCATTCACAGAGCTGCCGACTTCCTTTTTATTTCACTTAATCCTCACAACCCTGGCAAAGTAGTTTTTATTCTTATTTTAGAGATGTGGAAAAGGAGGCTCAAAAAGTTACGTAGTTGCTAGAAGACAAGAAAATGAAGATTCGAATGCAGCAGACTAAATTCTACTGTATAAACTTCCCCAAACTGCCACACTCTCCCATGTATACATCAAAAATGTATCGGACTCTGGCTGTGCCAGGCCACTGTCCTGGGCACCGAGTGTGTAGTATAAATCACACGCGCTGCCCTCACTTCCAGGGGACGGTGAGGAGGCAGGCTGTGCTCAGGGCCTGTGCAGGCAGTGGGTCATGCCTTGCCAGCCAAGCCATCAGCCCCAACAATGGCATCCTGACACGGGCAGCCATATGGAAACCTGGGACTTTGAGATCTATTCACAGATGAAGTCTCCACATAAGATTGATTTAAACAAAAGACTCCAGCACATGCACATAAAAATTTTAAAGTTTCAAATTACTATGGGGGGCGGGGGCAATAGTGTTAGGACAAACCACACATCTTTGCCTTGAAATTCTCAACCTTTTAGAAAGCTTTTGAGATAAATAATTGAGAACTGTGTACGTAAATATGAATCACACTTTATCTTCCGTGGTGTCCAGAAGTCTGCCTTGGGAACCTGTGTGTTGGCGTGGCCCTCTGCTGAGTGTCCCCGGGAGGAAGGAGCCACCATGTCTCTGTCTCCTGAGACATCCTTGCCCTCAGGTTTTCTAAAAAATTGGAGGCTCAGTTTTGTGTTTCTCTCTTTTAAATTATTGGAATTATTTTCATAGTGGAAAGTCAGAAGAGAGGATGAAAACACTTCATTTGAATGAAAACATTTTTACATCCTGAAATACCAAAAATAAAACTATCTTGAGTTTTTCTTTTCCACTTAGATCTGTTTAGTTGGCTCAATTATTTAAGAGTTTTCTGGCATATTTTTGAGGATAATGCAATAGAGAAAGACGATTCTCTGCTACAGGGAATTGCAGCTAGGACCAAGGACACCTCAAATCCCAGATCAATCTCCTGGTGCAGCTATTTTGAGTGAGCTTTTGGGCACAGGGGTTTGTGTCCTACAGAACAGAGGCCTTCGTGCTACTCCTGAAGAGGATCCCAAAGCAATTATCACCAAAGAAAGCCATTTTCGGCCTGCTACTCCAGGACCAAAGACTTAAAAATGCACTGGCTTCTGTTCCCGGGTCACATGTGGCCACTGAAAGTGGATTCTGATCATTCAGGCTCCTCAGGGCTTGAAAAAGAAAAGAAAAATAAGGTGTCACCTTCTCCAGTCCAGGGCTAAAAAGTCACCTCTGTTGACTCTCATGTTCCCAAACCCACTGGAGGAAGACACTGGTTCTCGTAGGAACCTCTGTCCCCATCCAATGACAGGGAACCTTCACTTTACCGGCATCAAATCTCTCTACAAATAAACTTAGAAGTTGAGCATATCACAAGTTGAAAATTATCTCGTCTTTTAAAAGTCTCTTCATTGTACTAGTTCTCGTTCTTGCTAATTGCCAAGTTCAGAGGGGCTCTTCCTTCAAAGGCATCACCCCCACGTTGAATCAGAGGGAAGTTTCTGGGTTGGCCTGGCCTGGTCGGCTCATTTTACGGAGACTGAGGCCCTGCCACGCCCTTGCCCTAGGCCTCCGAGCCTGCCCCCAGCCTCTCGGCCTCTCCACATCCTTAGGAGATCCTGGCTCCCCATTCTTGCATTGGTGACCGGAAGTCTCTCCCCTTTTCTGGTGTTTGTGTCTCCTTGGGGGCTCAGAATGTCACTTCAGACGCTCGGCTTGTCTCCTCTCTTCCCATCTACCCTCCATCTGCTTGGTAAAATTAGTTTTTTGGAGAAGTAACTAATTGGTTTTACTATTTAAATACCCCCTAGGCATTTAACAAGGATTAAGACTCTGGGGCTAAAAGAAAGAGATTGGGCCCGGCGTGGTGGCTCACGCCTGTAATCCTAGCACTCTGGGAGGCTGAGGCGGGAGGATTGCTTGAGCTCAGGAGTTCCAGACCAGCCTGAGCAAGAGTGAGACCCTGTCTCTACCAAAAATAGAAAGAAATTGGCCAAAAAACTAAAAATAGAAAAAATTAGCCAGGCATGGTGGTGCGTGCCTGTAGTCCCAGCTACCCAGGAGGCTGAGGCAGGAGGATTGCTTGAGCCCAGGAGTCAGGTTGCTGTGAGCTAGGCTGATGCCACGGCACTCTAGCCCAGGCAAGAGAGTGAGACCCTGTCTCAAAAAAAAAAAAAATGAAAGAGATTGATTTGGCAGAATTTCAGGCATCAAGAAACAACTGGGGAGATGCGTTGGGAAGAAAAGGCCCCTTGAGCCCCTGGTACTTATGTCGTTCGCGTTTGCATAAGGCTCTCCTTGTTCTTCACAGCTAAGTGTGCCTCTCTGGGCATGGGTGTTTGTGCAGTACTTAAATCAGCAAGAAATGGTCAATTTTTTCTTTATTTCCTTTACAAAGACCGGGAAACATAAGCTCAGAGAGGGAAGTGACCAGCCCACAGAACACCCAGCCAACAGATGCTGGAGTAGGGATTCGAACCTGGCCTGCTGCCTCCACCTCGAGCGAGCATCATGGACCCAGTCCACATGCAGTAGCTCTTGCTGCTGCCAGTGCAGGCCTGCTTTGAAATCCCCACCGCCCACCAGCTCAGATGTCATGGCTATTGATTCCTTTTCTATGAATGCAAATAAATCCGGTCCCAGGGTGTGCTGTCATGCAATTAACAGAGATCAGACTAGGCCAAAATGCTGGGCTGACTGCTTGGTGCCCAGAGCTCCGTGCAGAGCCGCTGGTGGGGACAGAACACCTCCTTCGTTGGGATTGCCTCCAGATCTTCCAGGTCGGCATGCTGTGGCAGAGCCCCAGCCCAGCTGTCAGCTTCCACCACCACCACCTGCATGCCAGCTGCTCAGATCCAAGGACGTGGGAGATTAACTCCCTTTTCCCCTGCCACCTCCTCCCGTTACTGACCTGGGCGCCCTGGAACATGCATCCCATGTTGTAGTATGGAGAATATTAGCAGGGCAAGGGAATCGTAGCTTCTGAACTACGGCAGGGCCTCTGGCAGGGTCTCTTAAGTGTATACGAATGAGATGTGAGTGGGTCTCTTGTGTGTATAGGGGGAGAATTCAATCCGGTGGTTTGGAAGTGAAGAGCCATACCGACACAGTGCGGCCAGATGGATCAGAGCCGTCTCTAGTGGCATGCCACAGGGCTCAGTCCTCAGCCACGTCCTATTAACTTTTGTTTTTATCTGTGCCGTATATGAAAATACAAAGGGCCTTCATAGCATGAGTGAGAGCCGCTTTTGAAAAGAGATGGAATAACATTGAAATCTCAGCTTTGCCACTTGGCTGTGTGACCTCAGCAGAGTTACTTAATTTCTCTGAACTTCCATTTCCTCTGTCATGGGATTGTTATGTGCATGAAATGATAAAATGTATGTGGCTGACATACAGTAAGCAGTCAATAAAACCATGCCAATGTGGCCTGTGTATGCATTTGTGAATAAGATGGTTCTGTGAGGAGAGGTGAGTAGGATTCCTCTGCATACCTAGGGTCCTAAAACATCAAGTGACTCAAATAAATGGGAAGGTCCAACACTTAACTCCAAAAAAAAAAAAAATCAATTGCACATGCGAAAGCTGGGGTCATCTGGCTCAGCTGCAGCCTGTGTTACAGGACTTCGAGGTTTTGCTGATGGTAGCTGGTGACCGCCAAAAAGACATAAACCAACAGTCTTCTGAGCTTGGGCTCCACTAACAGTAGGGTGGTCTCAGTCTTGCTGCCCAGTCAAGCAAGAACCCAGGCACCTGCTCACAGGTGAATGATTCTGATGGGAAAGAGACTTGAACCCACGGAGGAATGGCTGGATGAGTCGGGGGTTCTGGCCTGGGAAGCCAGGCACAGTGCAGGTCCCCATGATTGAAGGTGCCAATAGAAGATGAAGCTACTTAACACCACGTGGTTCCAGCAGAAAAGGTAGTCCTGATGTGGCGAAGCTGAGGGAGGGAAGAACCCGCAGGTAGCTGGGGCTGTCCAAAGATGGCCCCGACGGGCCACAGCAGGGTAGTGAGTCCCCCGCTGCTAGAGATGGCAGGGACACTGCAGAAAGGAGAAGGCAGCAGCTCAGCAGCTGGGATTCAACAACCCTCCCTTCTAATAACTCACTGGAGAGACTGAAGCTTTCCCTGATGTTCATCCTGCCTCCTGCTTCAGCCGTGTCACCACCTTGTTAAGAAGGCTGATTAGGTTGGGACGGGCCACGTGGTAGAATTAATTTGTCTTGCCTGGGCTCCTCAGCACTCAGACAATGAAGTGCAGATCCCTAGAGGTCAATGCCTGGATGAATTTTAATCAAGCTGATCAAACATCAGCCCTAGGAATTTTTCTAAAAAAAGAAAAATATTCCCAAACACATTCCCAGTCTTATTCTAGGCAATTCAATAAACACCAGGCTCTGCTGATGTGACTGGTGTTCGTTTTGAGTTGTGGGCACTTGTCCTATCTGTGCTCACACTTTGCACTCTGAATTGCACAAGGGAGGTGACCACCCCTTGCCTCTGCGTCACAGGGGCAAGAGTCTAGGGTTTGGCAAAAGGGCCAAGTGGGAGTGGATTTTTATTTGAAAGTACCGTACAAATTATTTGAACTGTATGTGCAGGTCTAGGCCTGTTCTGTACAGTATTCTAGAATATTAACCAGTGGGTTCCCAGGAAGGCTGCCAGACAAGCACACAAATACCTGCCCAGGTAGTGTGACTGCAGCACACACAGTGGGGAGGGAGGTCCGGCGCGGCCTCTAAGGAGCTGGCATTCAAGATGGGATTCCAGTAGGCAGAGATGTGTTGGATGAAAATCCTTATTCTGGAATCACTTCGTGGAAACAGCTGCTATGGCTTGAGATGACAGGCACTGGGGCCTCCCGCCACCCAGTGCTCTGATGAGGGTCATGCCAACATTTGCTGCCACCCTCCCCCCTTCATTTAGCCCATGGACAGCAGCTGGACAGCAGCTACCTTCCTTGGTCAGACTTGCTCTAAGGGAAAAGCCACATTTATCCCAAAGACTAGAATCTGCTGGAGGTGAACCAAAGTGGGGAGCCCCTGAGACGGGGATCGATGACAGCAGCTTTCCTCATGGAGCAGGGAATCTGGCATCTCACATCTGTGTCCAGGAGGCGCGTGAGCTTGAAATCAATTCAGCACGCTGCGTATTTCATTTCCCAGGGCCCACTCGCCGCTGGAAGAAGCATCGTCAGCCCTGCAGCCAGGGATCGCCATGGACGCCAGAGGACTGGCTGCGGCCCGCCAAAGCCCCTTCGCCGGCCAGGGGCCCGCCAGGTAACTGACCGGGCTCAGCCCTCACCTTGGGATGGGGGAGCCCAGGGAAGAAAGAAGGTAGATACGTCGGAAAGAGGTGCCGGGTGGAGGTGGAGTTGAAGATTTGGAAAAGGCGCAGGATCAGAGCAACCTGAAGTTTAGCGGTGAGTAATTTACTCTTGGGTCAGGTGTTCTGAGCTCAGAAAAGTCTAAGAAAAACTGCCTTTATCTGAAATTACTTTAATAAAAGCTGACACTGAGATACTTGCTCAATTCTGGAAGAATTCAGAAAAGAGACAACAAGAGGAGTGGTGAGAGCAGCCAGCCGTGGGAGACCACTGGGCGGACACGGTGCTCTGCCGCGGGCCGCGGTGGCGCCAGCTGGAACAGCGCTGGCGCCTTCCCACAGGTGCACGTCCGGGCCCTGTGTCAGGCATCTTTGCAAGAGCATTCGAAAGCTTAGCGAGACTCCAAGCTCCGTCTCCCTCTGATGACGTCGGTACCCTGGCTTCACCAGCTGCACCGCCTGAGGAAGTCATTTCACCTTTCCCAGCCTCATCTAGAAAGGCACCTCACGGCGCCTGCCCCACAGGTGGCCTGAGGGCTGCGGCAGAGCCAAGCGCCCCATGGCAGGTCCTCAGCAAACATCGGGCTCTTTATTTCCTTCCGCCACATTGTGTTACCAACACCATGGTTTTATGCAGTTGTGTCTTCTATGCTTTCTACTTAAGATTATTGCAAAAAAATTCACTTTTCTATTTATTCTTCATCCTTTTCATCGCAGAGAATACTACTCTATCATTTATTTAACTAGTCCATTGTAGCTGGGTGTTTAAGCGATGTTCACTGTTTTTGTTTTACTAATATAATGCTGTCTCAAGGCTCTTTGGTTGCAAGGAAGAGAACACCTTCAAATCAGCTCACATGGGGAGGCCTGGGGGAGGCCGGCATGGGGGCAGAGGTGAGCCAATGGTACCCCCCATCTCGTGGAAACAGCCAACGGAGCTCACGGGCGAGGAGCTGGGGAGGCAGCCGCTTTCTTCCTCTTATTTCCATTAGGAGTTTCTTGGTGGTTGTGCATTTTTCTGTGTGTCTGCTCCACTCTGGCTTCTCTGTTGCATATTAGCAGGCACAAGGCCGAAAATGGCCTTCGCCATGTGATCTTGAGTTGAAACACCCAACCCCACCTTGGAGTGGCTCTTAGCTCAGAGGCTTGAGTGACTCACTGTGGGTCAGTGGTCCATCTCTGCTCCTGTTGCTGAGGCTGGAGGGGGAGCGTGACCTTGGTTCTACCCCCTCAGCAAAGGAAGGGTGTGTGTCCAGAGCAGAGAGGTTGGGCTGGGCAGACCCCTCAAAATATGTCTGCAGCAGCAGCTACAAGCCTCTGTCTACGTGGGGTATTTTCTTGCTTCAAATTATTCCCTCAGGCTAAGGTCACAAGTGTGTGCTTAGGGTGAAGGTATGTGACAATCCATGGCTTAGTTCCAGGTTGTCTAGTGCTGACTCTAACAGGGGAAGCCCTGTCAGTGGAGGGCACTGCAGATGCCGAATCAGGGACATGAGAAGCCAAGAAGCAGAGTTGAGTGTCTGTCCCGGTCCCCTGTGGCAGAGACATGGGCAGTGGCAGGGAAGGCCCCTCACAGGCAAGCTCGAGCGAGGACGAGCCTGGGCACTGGGACTCCGGTCTCAGGTGCTTGAACCTGGGGCAAGGTCCCAGCGGGTCTGGCTCCAGGAGAGGGCCCTGGACAAGTGGCAAAGGAAATTCTCCGCAAGCCTGGGGAGAAAACTGGACTTTGTATACGAAAAAATTAATAAGATAAGGGTGGGAAAAGACTGTAGGCTGCATCTGGATGCTTGTTTCTTTACACCTTGCTCTACGTTTATCATCATTTGGACACTGTCCTGTTTTACTACCCTGTGCTTAGCGGGCATAACAAATCGCCCTCTGCTGGGCAAAAGGAAGGATGGTAGAAGAGCTCATCAACCCCCATTTGAAGGATCATGCCTTAGGCACAGTGCAAGTTTAAAAGGACAAAGCCATAATAAAGAGAGTGTCCTTTAGGAGGAAGCTCTGCCCCAGACTGCAGGGGTAGAGGGAGAAGGGGGTGAGAGGCCCCCACAAGGTGGAGACGCAAACTTGAACCGCAGCCCCAGCACCCACACCCTGCTGGTCTTCTCTCCTTCTTCCCAGCCCCTCAGAATGAGAGAGAGAGAGAGAGAGAGAGAGAGAGAGAGAGAAGGCTTTCCTTCTTCCTCTGCTGTTCAGCACCTGTCCATGTTCTTCCAGGTTGTCGCGCCTCATCGTCTCACTGCGCGCGTGGGCCGCCAGGCACTTACACCATGAGGACCAGAGACCTGACTCTTTTCTGGAGCGTTTCCGCGGAGCTGAGCTCAAGGAGGTGTCCAGCCGAGAAAGCAATGCCCAGGCAAGCATGGGCAGCCTGGAGCCACCAGACAGAGGGAGAGGGTGAGGAACCGAAAAGGAGGTGGGCCTGTGCCAGCCGTGGTGGGGCGGGAAGCACCTGCTTTGCGGGATCCTGCTTGGATGCCCCGCAGGTGGCCCCAAGCCTGAGCCATTCCTTGGGGAACATCACACGCTCCAACAGCCTCCACCAGAGTCCAAGAGGCCCCGCAGGAGAGGAAAGCCTTGAGCCAGAGCACCCAGCCTCATTTGACCACTGCCCTCGTCCTACACGAGCTCCTCTTAGGGCCCCTAGAAATAGTGATCGCAGAAACTCATCTGGGGACGCTGGTCACCAATCTCTCCCCACCAAAGGACCTTTGTCCTTTGACCCTGTACGCTATGACCCATCTTGCTTGAAAACAGGACCTTTTATACCATGAGCCTTGGGGGGTACCTAATGGTACCCACAATTATATGGGTAGGTGTACCTGCATTTTTCTGGGAAGAAGGTGCACAGGTTGGTCAGAATTTTCAAGGGGAACCATCCATGTCCCAGATCAGGTAAAAAATCACTGGGTGAGGGGAGGGGGCACACCAAGTATGGGGGTGTGGGGGGTTGGGGAGAGTGCTTGCTTTTTAGTGGGAGGAGCTACAGAAGCAGGGCCCCTGCCCATCTCTCTGCATGGCCCCCACCCCAACTGGGAGACAAGCCTGCACCACGGGACTGTGGGACCGGCACCCCCACCCCCAGACACACAGGGCTGCTGCCTCCCTCCCCTCCTGGCTTGATCTTAACAAGTCTCCCCAGCAGGAGGTCTGCGGACAGACCCTTGGACCACCAGGGGTTGAATCGATTGTCACCGAGCAACAAAGGGTCTCTTTAGGACCCAGAACCTATTTTCTAGGGAGGATGGGGGCGGGCTTGAAAATCTCTCTTTTGGCTGAATCGTCTAGAAAATGCTGAGATTTACAAAATGAAAAATTGGAAATAAGCATGATTGCTGCAAGACAGACAGTCCTGGATAATTGGCTAGAGAAAATGCCATCTGTTTTGATGTCACCGCAGAGAGGATGGGCTCAGGCTGGGGATTCTCAGATGGGCACTCAGGGGCCCTGGGGGGGTGACAGTGATGGGGCCACAGGGGAGACATGATAGAGCTTCTTGGAGCTTCCGTTTTACTTCCACATGGGAGGGTATTTTTATAGCATAGATTATGTCAGGGACTGCAAAATATTCAGACATTTTTAAGATAAAATACGAGAATTCAAGGACATTTCTTGCTACTGACTGCTTTAGCAGACGCGGGTTCAGTCTTCTTTCCAGGGGAAAGGTATAAGAGAGACTGAGATGCGAGGGCCCACTGAGGAGGCATCCCCAGGCCAAAGTTTTCACATGAACTTGGACTGCGAACTCTTGGGCTCCCTGGGCTGTGGGGAGGAGACTGGGTGCTGCCCAGGACAAGGCAGGGCAGCCCCCGGATCCCAGAGCCGGCATCCCAGACCCCGACAGAGCCGTGAGCGCAAGGCTGGGAGGCTGCTCGCCGCTGAGACAGAGAGACAAGAGGGGCAGCAGACAGATAAGGAAGAAGAGAGGGTGGACAAGGAGGAAGAAGGGAGGAGGAGGAGGGCGGGAGGGAGGAAAAAGAGGTTTCTTAGCAAGCCAGACAGACTGATTCAATTTCCAATGGGCAAGCAAAGACTTCTGTAGCTAAATTGATCAAATTATCTTCCTGCAACCTTGGAGATGGATGTTAGACTCTGTCCATTTCCCAGCGTGACTAGATGAGCAGGGAGTTGAGCTAGGACTGCATCAGGGCAGGCCCGAGGACACCGCAGACACCCAATCACTCGCCAGAAGGTTCGGGGCGGGCAGATGAATGTGGTGGTGCAGGATGGTAGCTGGGCAGTCAGCGAGGCTTCCTGGGGGAGGAGGATTTTAAACTTTTGGAGGAAAAGTCCCAACTGCAAAGCAAAGTGTATGCAGAGACAGGTCTTAGTTACCGCGTGGGCTTGGTCTTGCAGGATTACAGGCACAGAGGTGTGGTGAACACGGGCCACTGACCCCTTGGAACTCATCTTTCCCTCCATCACAATCTCACAGGGGTTTCAGCTTCTTGGGGCTTTTCAGAAGAGCAGAGCCAATCCAGAAACAAGCAGTTACAGCCACATCTTGGGCAGGGAGAGGAAGGCTGGCAGACAAGCAGAAGTAGCCAAAATGGCATTTAGCTGCATGTCCAGCATCATAGAAGAGACACTCTGAGAGCCAGGCCGGGTGTCACTGGCCACAGGCTCCAGTCCCTGTGGTCTGCAGTGACCATGGACAGGCAAGCCACCCTCCAGCTCAATGAGGCCTCCAGCTCTGGCTCTCTTAATTAAACCAGCCACGTCAAACTTGTACTGACAGTTGAGCACTTGGAGATATACCTTTTCCCATAGGGCACTGTGAAGTACACGAAATTCAACTTTAAATAAACATCCAGTTGGTACAAAACCAACCCTACCTTCTACCAGATTCTCACATAGATCATGGGTGGCAGGCCCTGAGGTTATAAGATTTTGGTGGAGGGCAGGTCAGATAGACTAAAAGCTGAGACAATTCTGCCCCTGGTCAATTTTTGGCCCTGCTGATTGGAAGAGGTTACCATGGTTGAACTTTTGAGGGAGAGCACCCTTTGAGAGCCTTTGCAAACGACGGTAGCAAGTTGCTGCTGCGGGATGTGTCTATCCTGGTGCAGAAGGCATGAGACCTTCATCTGAGAGGCATGGGCGCACCCAGAGGCCACGTCAGGTCCATTTGTGTGCCCCATGTAGTGCCAAGCACCCTGCCCCGCACAGGGCAAAACGAAATGAAATCGAATGGAATCTGAGGCTGGACAGCTGGATGGGATCCAAACGGTTAATCCTCATTTACTCAGAAGCATCACGTTCATCCTCTGTTCCCCTAAGGCTTTTACCAGACCTAACTAGTCACAAAAAATTTGGGGCCTTGACAAAAACAAAACCCTGTGTTCTTCAAGTTGTGAGCAGAAGGGGCCAGGAGAAGGGGCTAGGGGTACCCAAATAATCACCTGGGGAAAGATGGTCCCACATCATGGACACTGAGCTCAGATTGCCATGCTGTTCTCTCTGCCTCCCTGCAGCGCCTGGCCCCTGGCCAAACACAATGCCAACGCCAGCAACAACTCGGAGGAGGAGTAAGTACCCGGCTCCCAGCAGAGCCTCGCCTCCCAGTGCCGGGGTCCACCCTCCTCCCCGTAGAAGCCCCAGCTTTGCCTCCCTCCTTAAGTGCCCCTGCTCCCCTCTCCCAAAACACCAGTAGGCCATGCTAGAATCCTGTCCTTCCTGTGGAAATCCATCCCTGTGGTCAGATGGGGGAGAAGGGACAAGGTCTGTGTGACTCCTTTGGGGAAGTGATTTTATCTCTTTAGCTCTCATTTTCCTCATCTATAAAGCAAAGAGGTTGGATCAGATAAACGCTTTAAACTTTAACATTCTAGATCGCTATCTATTTGAGGGTATAAAACTAAGTTCCTTTACAGAGCAAGTGATATGTTCGTTAATGATGGGACACGATTTTTCATTCTACAACCTCAAGCTTTTGTGTGCCAGTGAAATGCCAATTCTTAAGGACAATTCAGGCCAATTTCGAGGGCATAATCGGAGCAGTGGAAAGAGGAAATTTAAATATTTGCAGCGAGCAGCCTCTTCAAAGGATGACCTGCTGTAACTACTTTCTATCACCAGATGCTGAGCCGCAAGATTAGTTTGATGTGTGGTTTTCTCAAGGCCACCCAAGAGCCCGGGGAGTGTGTGTGAGATTGCACGTGTGCATTAACGCACACGTATGTGTGCACACAATTCTCCATTCTCACCACTTTATGGAATACTATGATTGGAGGTCTTAGTTGAAGGTTAGGGAAAAAAACATCAATATCAGCAAGAAATGCCAATTTCTTGACTTCCAATTGACAGAGAAATGTGGCAAGAGTTTTTCTTGTTATTTCCCTGTTTGTTCCTTAGGTAGAACTTTTTTCCGTTTCTCTCCATGAAAGAATCACGTATTTTGTTTGAATAAATTTGGACATCAAATCCAGAGACCCAAATGCCAGCAATCAAGAAAAATGAAATGATGTCATCTACAAAAGAATAGCTGTTGTGATATGTGTTTGATTTAAAGTCAGACCTGAGATTAAACTCCTTTGAAAGCCTAGTATTGAGTCTCTTGGGCATGGAAAGCCTCAGAGTGCTGGGAACCGTGGACGTAGGTCTTGTGGGTCTCTGGGCTCCTTTGTCCTGCGACTGGGGTGTGGGCAAGGACAGGCTGGACAGTGTTGGCTGCACCAGGCTCTTAAGTCTTTTCATGTACATGGCTCTCTTCATGGATCCACACTGAAGCCAAGGGCCGAGGTACAAAATTGGAAACTGTCCCAAAATGAGGACACCTGGGCACAGAAAAATAACTCTTTATGGACGACTTTCCTCTCCTCTTCAACCACATTTCTGGCATTTTCACTTAGCCCCATGGGTTCTGAATAATTTTTTCCTCCCCTGTCAAACTATTCCCAGCCAAAATCAGCATCATTTTGCAGCTCTGTGCAAGTTCTTTTGGGGCAGTGCTGGGTGGACTCAGGGACATGACTGGTTGGTGCTTTCCTAGGCCCTCACAGCATGGTAGCCAGAGGAAAAGCCAAGATCTATAACCGAGGGCCACAGATCCTGGACAAGGCAAGCTGAGCCTGGTGTAACTAAACTCCATGCAGGGCTAAGGACGCCCAATAAGCTTGTGGGCGGCGCCCTCTGCTGGTTCGTTGACATTAATTCTCCAGTGGCAGGAAAGACTTCGGGGTTCATTTCACAATAGATTCAAGAAGACAGCGGATAGATAACCGTCCTTGCTTTTCTCATTTCACAATTTTAATAACCTTTTGTTCTTTTCCACTTTATTGAAATACCCACTTCTAAAAACCTAGAAGACAAGAAAAGCACCTGTGTGCCTACACATACGAAAAGTACATTTCATGTTCACGGTGGAATTCCACTACCAGAGATAACCCCTCTTAATGTGTTGGCAAATACACCTCCGACTTTTTTCTAGGCATACATATTGGGTAACTAGATAGATACAATATAATTAATATATATACTTGTTAAGAGCATTTGTATCCCAATTTAGTCACCTAAGAGCTTTGTGACCTTGGGCAAGTTACCGGTTATCTGACTTGTGTCAGTTTCCTGGCTTATAAAACAGGGACTATAATAGTGTCTTATTTTCAGGGGGATGTGAGAACTAAATGTGTTAATATATATAAAGTGCTTAGAGCACTGCCTAGTACATAGTAGGCACTCAATAAATATAAACTAGTGTGGTTGGCAGAATAGCCTCCCGTAAAGATGTCTACCATCGTAAGCCCTAGAACCTGTAAATAGGTTATCTTGTATGGCAAGGGGGACTTTGCAGATATGATTAAATTTAAGGTCCTCAAGATGGGGAGATTATTCTAGATTATCAGGGTGGGCACAATATAATCACATGAGTCCTTAAAAGCAGAAAAAGGAGGTTGGAGAGTGGGCGAGGGAGACGAGATGGAAGAAGAGGAGAGAGTCACATTGTGAGAGGGACTCGACCCATGGTTGCTGGCTTTGCAGATGGAGGAATAGGGGCACGAGCTCAGGAAGCAGCAGCCTCTAAAAGCTGGGAATCTCCCTTCATTTATGGCCAGCAAGAAAACAGGGACTTGGGTCCTACAGCTCCAAGGAACCGAATTCTGCCAATAGTCCAAATGAGCGGGAAGCAGACGCTCCCCTAGAACCTCTAGAAAGGATCGTAGCCCTGCGGACACGTTAATTTTAGTCTGGTGAGACCCATACTGGACTCCTGATCTGCAGATCTGCAAGATGATAAGCTTGTGTTGCTTTGAGCCACTAAGTTTGTGATGATTTGTTCTGGCAGCAATAGAAAACTAATACAGCTGTTATTATGAACTCTTGCAGTCTGCTTTTTAACTTAGCAAAATATTAAGAACAATTTTCCCATGTCACCAACTATTCTTTGACAACATCATTTTTGATTTTTATTTTTGTTTTGTTCTGTTTTGAGATGGGATCTCACTGTGTTTCCCAGGCTGGCCTCAAACTCCTGGGCTCAAGCGATTCTCCCACCTCAGCCTCGTGAGTAGCTGGGACTACAGGCGCGCACCAGGACGCCTGGCTCACAACATCGTTTTAACCGACCTTGTAGAATTTCATTGTTGATAATGAATCTCCTACCGTTACATGGTTAGACTGCTTACGCTTTTCGACTGTTATGAACAATGGTAGTGATTATTCCTCTACAAGCACGCTCGTACATGTCCTTGATTATTTCCTTAGGAAGTGCTAGGTAAAAGTGGACCGGTCTTTTTCAATCAGTGTTTAATTAGCAGACGTTTATTTCTCACCCCATGCCTTCCTCCAGACTGTAGAAGAGCAAAATCGGAGGGGCCCAAAGGTGGTTTCAAGGGTGCCCCTTCAGCAGGCAAGGCCTTAACCTTTTGCTCTGGTTTCCTCAACTGTTCCGTGGGGCATTAATGCCTGCCTTGCAAAACTATTACAACTATTCATTAGATAACCTATGAGAGTACCTAACCCTTAAAAACACGCACTAGAGAACAAGAAGCAGAGAAAGCCGTGTGTTGAGGAGACACCTGCGCCAGCAGGTCCCGCACACACAGGCAGAGCTGCCTCGCAGCCCAGCACAGGCTGAATGCACGTCCCGCCTGGCTGCGCTGCAAGCTGCGAACAGTGCTGAGATTTGCCACAACATGTGTCACAAACCTATTTGGATTTTGCTTCCCTTCTGCTGGTTTCTCACCAAGGCCCGGGTTTTCGTTTGGTCCAGAGACAGATTTTGAGAGCAGCAGACGGACCACAGCCTTTGCTTCAGAACCAGAGGCTTGGCATGTGACTTCCAAAACTCTGAGCGACTTTTCTACCCTCAGTGTGTGGATTTGGGTTTATTTGCTATGACCTCAGAATGTCTCCATCTCAGGCTGTTTATGACCTCCCAGGAATTCACGAAAATAGGTCAGAAATTATAGAACGTTAACTGAACCACTAATATCGCAGCATATACTTCGATGGAGTAGTTTACCTCACGCTTCAGGAACAATAATGGTAATGGAATCAATAACCTCATTTCATCCCAGTGTGCTGGAAACATCCATTTCCTATGCCGTGTCCTCTCTCATGCCACTGCTGCCTTCCCTTTCTACTGTAGTAATGTCCTTGGTATATGAAGTCTGCTGAATGTCACCCTGCATCAGCTAATGACAAGGCAAAAAAGGAGGAGCAAGAGAAAAAGGAATAAGAGAGAGAGGACTGTCTAAAACACTGTGAGACGCTGCCTCCGAAGAGCAGATCCAATGGTTACAGCAGGCCAGCCCCCTCCCTGTGGGGACCAGGACTGGGTGTCTTGGAGCGATGCGTCAGTTAGCGTCACCCAAGGGGGAAAGGAGCTGGAGACCAGGCTGGAGACCAGGCTTCCTGAGACCATGTGAGAGCCTGTTCTGCAGGCCGAGGCCACTCCCAGCTCTGGGAACCCAAAGGGGCTTCCCATTAAAGAGGGTTATTTGTCTTCAGCCTGGGCGAGCAGCTAGGGGCTGTCCCTGTGAACCTGCTCATGTGCCTCACCCCAAGCATTTTATTTGCCCATACAAGTGGGCCACACAGTCAGGATAAGCCAGGGGCTTCTTTGGAGCACTAGAAGATTTTACATTCACAAACCTGCATCCAAACCCAAAGGCAATGAGAATTGTTGGGGACATTCCAAAGCCCTGACAATGAGTCGTTGATCTTGCGCTTGCTGAGTCCAGGCCAATGCAGGAGGTCACCAGGGTCTCCTCTGGGGCACAGGAGCCACTCTGCAGGCTGGGCCAGCATGTAGGACATATGGAATGGTGGTTGGGGGACACATGGACCTTAAGAAAAGGAAGAGTCTCCAGTACTGCCTGTAAAATCTGCAGAAAATCCTGAAAATAAAAGCTAAGCACTCTAAGCAATGCCTTTCATTCAGTGTTGGCCCACGTAACCTGGATAATTCCCAGGGCCATGGTTTTTCAGGGAGAGGCAGGATCCAAGTGTTGGAAATGAGCCTTTGAGACATCAGCACAAACGCAGTGAGGGTGTGGAGAGGGTTCTTAAGGGAATACTCCAGAGCTCCCAAATTCAGTCCAGAGAGGAGCTGCCTCAGAACCGCCTGGGCAATGTTTAAATGCACATTTCCAGGCCCCAGCCCTGGAGGGGGTGCGGGTGGGCCCTGGGAATCGACGTATTCACAGAGCTCCCCCCGACCTCAGTGGACCTCAGTGACATTGCCATGCCACGTTTTCGTCCCCAGCATCCTGAAGGGCATGGATGTTGCCACGGCACATGGGGATGTCATCACCGTGATCCTGTATCCACCGCGGCTTTCTGGGGAGTTGAGCTGGGAGGGAAGGACCTCCAGAGCCGGCCCCACCTCCCAGCCTGCCTTCTCACAGAGGGACACCCCATGGTGACCCCCAGAGGCTAAGGAGGACCCTGCTGAGAGGCACTTCTTGAGCTTCAGACTGAAGTGCCCTAGGGTCTCTGCACTAACCTGGGTCTCTAAACCCCTCCAAAGCTGCAGTGCTTGTGTGTGTCGCATCTCCAGGAAGAAGAAGGACCCGGTCGTGGTGGACCCCTCCAGCAACGTGTACTACCGCTGGCTGACTGTCATCGCCCTGCCCGTCTTCTACAACTGGTGTCTGCTCGTGTGCAGGTAGCGGGGAGGGAACAAGGGCACCCGGACAGGACACAGTTCTGATTCTCACTCAGGAGGCCTGAGTTCTGGTCCCTTCATGGCCACCTTTAGCTCTTGTGCCTCAGTTTCTCCATCCATAAAAATAAGGGATTCTCAAAGAGGACCATCAGGGTGCTCTGGTGGGGAACCGAGCTTGACATGGACATTGAGGGTTCTGGCATTTGGGGGCCTCCTTGAGCCAGTTACAGGAGGAGCCCACAGAGGCGAGCTGCTCCTCTTCCAGTAAGCAGGAGGGGTGTTGAGGGCTTCTCCTAGGAGGGTGCTGTTTGTGGATGCAGGGGCGAGGTGCTGCTCCTCTGAGGGGAAGCCAGGGGCTTGGGCTTTCCTGAGCAGGCCTACAGGGAGGGGATGCCGCAGGGAGCAAGGTCTTCTGAGGGCAAACGAGGCTTCGGAGCGTCCCGGACTTGCTGCCAGGCAAGGATGCAGGCCAGCTGCCACTGCTCTGTGGGCAGGGAGGGGCTTTGGGCATTTCTGAGCAAGCCTGCAGGCTGTAAGCTGCAGAGCTGAGAGGAGGGGTGAGCGGCTACTCTCTCGGGGCCCTTCCTAAGGAGGCCTGCAGGACAGGTGTGCAGAAGCAGGTCACTGCCCTTCTGAGAGTAAGCAGGGGCTTTGGGGCTCTCCCAAGCCAGCACACAAAATGATGCAGGGCCGAGTCCTACCCTTCTGAGAGTAGACAGTGGGCTTCGGGGTGTTCCTGGGCAAGCCTGCAAGACAGCCACTGCTCTGCAAGGCTGCGCAGTGAATTATGGGGCATTTCTGATCACTCTGCACGACAGGGATGCAGAGGAGACCTGATGCTGTCTGAGCGTGAGTAGAAGCTTTCAGGATGATCTGAGCAAAGGGTGGTCTCCTGCTCTTCTGAGGGTTTGCGGGTCAGGTGGAAAGGGCGAGAACTTGGGGCCTGTCTTAGCAAGCGGTCGGGATGAGGTGCACAGGCAAGCTGCTGCTCTCTGAGGCGAGCCGGGCCCTGGGGAGGCAGAGGGAGCCAGGCAGGGGACTCTGGGGTCACTGAGCAGACTGCAGGGTGGGCTGCAGGGCAGACTCCTGCTCTCCTGAGGCTAGGAGGGGAGTCTGGGGGTGCTGTCTGTGTGAGCATAAAGATGGAGAAGGTCAAACATAGTTACTGACCTGTTCAATTGTTAATCTCTCAGAAACTCTCCTATTTTGGTTGGCATTTGACCCTAGAAAGGGCAAGTCCTTAGCCCCTTACCTGACTTCTCCTGTGAGGCCTGGGAAACTGCACCTCTTGGGGTTCCACTCACTGCTGATAGGAACAGGGCTGCTCTTTGGGGTCAATCCCAGGTTTTCTTCCCAGGAGCTCTGCGACCATGGAACAGAAAAGCTTCCCAGAGCCTGGGCCTCCTCGTCAGACACTGGGGTGATTGTGCTTGTGTAGTCACACCGGAGGTAGGGCCGCACCCGGAGGAACTGATCCCGTGTTTGCGGCACAGAGCCGGTGCCCACACACGGGTGGCCCATGCTCCAGACACGCAGCAGGCAACCATCAGTCTCGTGCTTGGCTTGTTTAGGGCCTGCTTTGATGAGCTTCAGTCTGAGTACCTGGTGCTGTGGCTGGTCCTGGACTACTCCGCCGATGTCATCTATGGCTTGGATGTGCTGGTACGAGCCCGGACAGGTGAGCGTGCCCCAGGCCCGGCACTTCTCTGGTCTAGGCCATAGACCCTCAGAAGGGGGACCATGGGGACCACAGGAGTGTTCAGGGAGACCCAGGTAGGTTGGACATTACCTACCTTTGGCCATGAGAGGCCGGCAGGTCTGGGGACTTCCAGCGTGAGGGTGGGTGGTGCTACTTCAAGCCCTCTACACCGAACCCTTGGGTAGGACCCTGAGCACGGGTCAGCACACCTGGGCTCTGGCTCTGTTCTCCCCATGAGCTGTGTGACCTCAAGCAAGACAAGCTGTCTCTCTGGGCCCTGTTTCTATCACCTGTGAAATAAGAAGGCCAAACTGCAATTTCAAAGACCCCTCCAGCTCTGACTGCCCAACATCCCGGGGAGTGGGCGAGAGAGCTTGGTCAATCTTGGAGTTTCTCTTCTCAGATGTTCAGGGGATCCAGGACATGTTACTCTGTGGCTTTCAGAGGAGTTTTAATATGTGGGGAACTAAAATCTAAAACCAGGCCTAGGCAGGTATGACTTCCTTCAAATCACCTCTGGTTCGGGTGGGGAGTGGCAGCCACCCACACTGTAGGCTCCAAGCTGTGTGCCATTGGGCACCTTTTTCTAACTTGCCCGTCAACATCATCTAAGCTAGTGGAGGCCCTGCTTGTCTCTTCCAAGATTTTTGAACTTAAGACTGTGCATAGTTGTCAATGTAAATACCACCAGCTCACAGCAACCAGCCTTGGCACGGCCCCACGTGCAAAGCATTTCAAGCACATCTTGGTTTCTCATTCAAACAGCTGCCTGAGACAGGAAGCATAGGCATGATTTTATCTCCATCTTGAGGATTTATAAACCTAGGCCAGAGATGCCGAGTGACTTGCCCAAAGTCCACGGTCACTACCCGGCCATGCCAGGCTGGCACCCAACTGTTTCCACATTGGTGCCCAGCATCATAGCTTAGAAGACCTTGAACACACAGCTTGAGGCTTGCGTGGGTGACCCCGCCAGCCCTGGCAGTCTGCCCCTCTGCCGTGGTCACGTTAGCCCGTGTAGACACCAGAGCTCCACTAGTGGCCCATTGGGCCAACTGTCCTTTGTCTCAGCCAAGCTTCAGTGGGCCAAGATGCCCTCACTCAGACATCTACCACACCCCTTCTTGTGCTTGGCTACTATGCTTATCAATCCAAGATTCAGCAGGAAGCTGGCAGGGAAGGAGGCACAGAAACCAAGTGGCCAGGAATCATAGATACCCCACAGAAAAAACTCATCAGAATTGAGAGAAGACATCTTAAAGAAGCAACTATGGGTTACATTTTGGAGTATATGGTACCATCTGAGTTGTGGGCAATATTTGGTGCTAATAAATTCTGCTGAAATAATTGTTCTCAAAAAAAAAAAAAAAAAAAAAGAAGAAGCAATAAGGAGGCCTCAGGCACAAAGAGGGCTACTAAGGATCTAGGCACTCAATAGACTCACAACAAAAGAATGCTGTGAGGAACGGGGCTGGAGGCCAGATGTCCCTTGTATGTGACAGAAAACTGATTTTCAATGATAACGGGGGGGGGGGGGGGGCAGTCCTGCCCTCAGTCTAGCCTCAAAATGTGGCCTGGACCAGCAGCAGTAGCCAATGCTGGAAGTTGTGAGAATCTCCCAGACCAGCTCCGGGGGCGGCCTGGCAGGCACTCTGTTTCACAGAGCCCTCGGGTAATTCTGATGCTCACCAAAATCTAAAAAGTATTCATTATATTATTCTCGCCATTGTTGTACCCGTCTGAAAATGTAAACAAAATAATAAGTAAAAAGAATACAGGGCATGGCCTACTTGACTGATTTCAGCAGACATGACACCCACCACTCCCAGTGTCCAGCCCCCTTCCAGACCAGTCTGAGTCTTTGGGGGTGGACCAAGACTTCGTATGTTTTAAAAGCTCCTTGGGTGATAGTAATGTGCGACCAAGAAGGAGAACCACGTTCCCAAGCAGTATTGTGAAAAGGCAGGTTCTGCCCATTAGTGACTAGTGAGATGAATTTGGTAGGCCATGCCCTGCATTTTTAAAATTTCTATTACTAACATTTTCAAACATACAGAAAAACAGAGAGAGTACTATTATGAGTCTCATGTGCCTTTATCCAGCTTCAACAGTTAACAACATTTTACCCATCTGGTTTCATCCATCCCCCTACCACCCTCTTTTCTTGGCTGAAATGTTTCAAAGCAAATCCCACACAATAAGCACTTCAGCATGTATCTCTACCTTTAAAAGCCCTTTTTGAAATATATATATAATTTCCATTTATCTATTAAAATTTAATAATCATTTCTTGCTATCATCTAATACTCAATCCATATTCAAATTTACCCAATTGACCTAATAGATTAGAACATCATAGAACAGAAAATATCAGAGTACATTTCCTTATAGGTATCACTACATACTGTGTAATCATGATGTAAAATATTTTTACGTGGACTGTTAACTGAAGGCATAACGAGGCTCATACTTTGGAAAGGAGAGCTTTATTTCTCCTAAAGGGTTGCAGCCTGTGGTGGCCATTCCAACAGACTGGAGAGCAAAGCCCCAGCCAGATGCTGGGAATGCACGCTTCAAGGCAGGGACAATGGGAACAGGAATTTAAACTGAGCCGGATAGCCAAATATACATATTTCACAAGCTATAGGAGGAGTCATGAATATTTATGAAAGGAGAAACATGTACCTACGCAACTGAACTTTATGCCCTTTTATGGGGTCCATGTTCAGAAATGGGGCCCTCTTCTATCAAAAAGGTAAAGCCAGGACACAAAAACCCTCTCTGCTCATGCTCTGTAGACTGGTTAAACCCACTTTGTGGTTGGTTGTCTCTTATCAGGAAAGAATGCTGGTCTGGATCACGAGATTGGTTTCTGTTTAGGCCTTAGGAAAATAGCCTGATGGCCGTTAGCAAGGGAGAGGGTATAGTGATGCATGTTTGACCTCCTATCCCATCATGGCTAGGAATTCAGTATAAGGTTTCTCTGGGGTTCCATTGGCCAAGAGGGGGTCAATTCAGTCAGTGGGGAGCTTAGGGTTTTATTTTAGTTTACAGGACCACGGTCAAAAAAAGTTAGCCTCTCTGATGCCCAAGTGACCTCCATTTTCTTCTTTAGGTTTCCTTGAGCAAGGCTTAGTGGTCAGGGATGTTGAGAGGCTGTGGAAGCATTACACAAAGACCTTGCACTTCAAGTTGGACGTGTTGTCCCTGGTCCCCACGGACCTGGCTTACTTAAAGCTGGGCATGAACTACCCAGAACTGAGGTTCAACCGCCTACTGAAAATTTCCCGGCTCTTCGAATTCTTTGACCGCACAGAGACAAGGACCAACTACCCCAATGTGTTCAGGATTGGGAACTTGGTCCTGTACATCCTCATCATCATCCACTGGAATGCTTGCATCTACTTTGCCATTTCCAAGTTTATTGGTTTCGGGACAGACTCCTGGGTCTACCCAAACATCTCAATCCCAGAGTATGGGCGCCTCTCCAGGAAGTATATTTACAGTCTCTATTGGTCCACCTTGACCCTGACCACCATCGGTGAGACCCCACCTCCCGTGAAAGATGAGGAGTATCTCTTTGTGGTCATAGACTTCTTGGTGGGCGTTCTGATTTTTGCCACCATTGTGGGCAATGTGGGCTCCATGATCTCGAACATGAATGCTTCACGGGCAGAGTTCCAGGCCAAGATTGACTCCATCAAGCAGTACATGCAGTTCCGCAAGGTGACCAAGGACTTGGAGACACGGGTTATCCGGTGGTTTGACTACCTGTGGGCCAACAGGAAAACAGTGGATGAGAAGGAGGTGCTCAAGAGCCTCCCAGACAAGCTGAAGGCTGAGATCGCCATCAACGTGCACCTGGACACTCTGAAGAAGGTTCGCATCTTCCAGGACTGTGAGGCGGGGCTGCTGGTGGAGCTGGTGCTGAAGCTGCGGCCCACTGTGTTCAGCCCTGGGGATTATATCTGCAAGAAGGGGGACATTGGGAAGGAGATGTATATCATCAAGGAGGGCAAGCTGGCTGTGGTGGCTGATGATGGGATCACTCAGTTCGTGGTCCTCAGTGATGGCAGTTACTTTGGGGAAATCAGCATCTTAAACATCAAAGGGAGCAAGTCAGGGAACCGCAGGACGGCCAACATCAGGAGCATTGGCTACTCGGATCTCTTCTGCCTTTCAAAGGATGACCTGATGGAGGCCCTCACCGAATACCCTGAAGCCAAGAAGGCCCTGGAGGAGAAGGGACGGCAGATCCTGATGAAGGACAACCTGATCGATGAGGAGGTAGCCAAGGCTGGGGCAGACCCCAAAGACATCGAGGAGAAGGTGGAGCATCTGGAGTCCTCCCTGGACACCCTGCAGACTAGGTTTGCGCGGCTCCTGGCTGAGTACAACGCCACCCAGATGAAGGTGAAGCAGCGTCTGAGCCAACTGGAGAGCCAGGTGAAGAACTGCAGGAGCGGCCTCCTGTCTGACGGGGAGGCTCCTGCGGAGGCGGCAAAAACAGAGGACAAACAGCAGTGAAAATGCAGCGTCTGTCTCCTGCTTCACAGGCTCAGCTGTCAGTATGATGCTATGTGGCCACCGCTGGGTGCCATGGAAATTGGCCAGGGTTAATTCTAGGTTTACACAGCCTTTGAAAGCTGTGTGGCTGCAAGAGAGAGCCTTGGTTTCCTCACCTAGAAAGTGCCAGGTTATCATGAGGTCCACAGGAAACACCACCGGAGGCAGGGCGGTGTAAAGTCCTGCGTATCCCCAATCCAAGGATAGAAAAGCGTGCACACAGGACTCTAGTTATTTTTTATGGAATCCGCAAGGAGTTTTTAGGCTTTTTAATCTGATTTTCTTACAAACAGCAGAGTATTTCACCACCCTCCTCCACCCCAACCCCACTCCACCACCATCTGATAACAGATATAGAACTGGAAGCTGAAGGTACAAAGTAGTGACTCAAATTCAACCTTGCACAAAGCAGTTGGGGATCATATTTCTGAATCTGGTATCTCCTCATCTGTCCTTTGGGACCCTAGAAACCCTGGCCTATGGCAAGTAGAAGTTCTGTGGGATGGAGGAAGACTGCCCCATTGGAGGTCACTTCAAGTCTGTGAAGCAAATCTAGACTCCCTGCAGTGCAGCTGCCATGAAACCAGGATCTGTTTCATAGAAAAGAGCAGCTCAGGGAGGAAAAGTGACATCCCCTCCTTCTCATTTGCCAAAGAGATTCAAGGACAGCATCTTCCCTCGCCCTGGAGTCAGGGCCCTGGGGCAACCTATTCTAGCTCAAGGAGAGGAGCTGAGTCTTTTAGGTTGAAGGAAGGAATGATGTCCCAAGCCAAAAAAAGCTGACAATCAGGACTTTTAGAAGATGAGACCCTTAGGCTGTATCTTTGCAAACTGCCCCTTCACCCATGAAGAGGAAACCTCAAGCGCCCTTGGAATTACATCCTGAGGCAAAGCTTTTAGCTAGCCGAAAGCTTACAGATTGCAGAAACTAGTTTTTTTTTTTTTAACTCAGTAAATAGAATTGCATTAACAGTTTATAACAGATTTATATTTTTGAGTTCTATGATTTTGAATTCTGATCTTATCCTTCAGTTACATACATGTTGCAAATTACCCAATAATGAGTCTTTCTTTCTTTTCTTTTCTTTCCTCCTTGCTCTCTTTCTCTTTCCTTCTCTTCTTCCTCTTCTTCCTCCTCCTCTTATTCTTCCACTGCCTCTACCTCCTCCTCCTTCTTATTCCTCTTCTCCTCAGACAAAATGCCCCACTTTTTTTGACAACTTTGAAGTCTTTGTGGTCTGATGTTATAACTCATATGTTACACAATTGGGCTTAATGTAGTTCATGCAAAAGGTGCTGCATTTCCAAGTATGTATTTTGGATTTATGTCAGTCTCTTTTTGTTTTTATTGTGGGTCGCTCGACCATTTTAACTTTTTTTATGGCCTATTAAAGGTCATATATCCAAGCTTATATCATCAGCAAAATGTAATTAGCAAGTATTCTCAAAATGTATATATTTTAAAAGCCTTAATATTAGTCATGACTGCATCCATATTTGCACAGGAAAAATAAAGACCTGGATTAAAAAATATTAATGACTCTTGCTTCGGCTCTTGCTGTAAGGGAAGATTCAATCCCAGAGTATGTTATTAGGGCAATGGCTGCCCTGGAAGGAAGGAATGCTGAGGAACAGGGAATGGCACACACTCAACATGAGGGCATATGCACAACCAGAAGCCGGTTGCACATATGCGTACCAGAGACAGGTACAAATGTTTACTGCAGCATTGTTTTTAATAGCCAAAATAACCCCCTAAATATCAGAATATAAGTATTAAATACCAATCAGTAAAAATATAAAACATGCTAGGTATTACACCAGAGAGAATTTAATAGAGGGAATTTATTATGTGGATGCTGGAGGCTGAAAGAGCAGAAAAGGAATGTTGAGTGTATTCAGAGACAATAACTGTAGGAAAGAGAGAAGAGGCCCCAAAAGCTAAAACTCAGACCTTTTGAGGAGGGAGTGCTACTGGCTGTTACTGATAATTTAGGAACTCAGAAAAGTTTTGCAAGTGTAGGAATTTGGGCAATATCTGGGGAAGGGCATGGCACAGTGAGACTGGTCCTGGGAATCCCAAAAGGAGGCTGGAACCACCTACTACTACCAGGATAAACTGCCGCCGCTGCTGCTGCTGTTGCTAGCGTTACATGACCAGAACAACAGGCACACTAGCAAAAGGAGGTCCCTTCTCCCCTCCCTCTCTGCCTTCTAGTCTTCCTCGGTTGCCTCCTAGTAGAGAGTTCTAGAAAAGCAAAGACAGTGAGAAGGACTTTGGACTTAACTGACAGAATGTCTTCCACAGACATGAGGCCCTACCTTAGAGGTTCCTGGAATAGGTAGTAAAGACTATGTTTCCTAAATAAATGACCCTCTCTGCAGTGATTGTTGCCCAACAGTCCACTGTCAAAGCTTCTTTCCTCTGTCCTGAAGCTTTTTCCTTTTAAGAATGCAAAACTCTACTATTCAGCTTTAAGAAACAGTGGTGATATAGCACCTCTTGTGTTCTCCTGGATAGAGCTGGAATGCATTCTACTAAGTGAAGTATTCCAAGAATGGAAAAACAAGCACCACATGTACTCACCAGCAAATTGGCATTAACTGATCAACACATAAATGCACATGTAAGAATACGGCAGGGGGGAGGGGGAAGGGGGAGGAGGGGATGGGTATTTGCAAACACAAAGAGTGCGATGCGCACCATCCGAGGGATGGACACGCTTGAAGCTCAGACTTGGGGGGAGGGCAGGGCAAGGGCAACATATGTAACCTAAACATCTATACCCCCATAATATGCTGAAATAAAAAAAAAAAGAATGCAAAACTCTCTGGGAAATAACATGATGGAAAGAAGGGAAATCATCACTTATTAACTGCTTCCTATGTGCCAAACATTGCTCTTCATGTAAAAGCATAAATTTCCTTAGTTAATCGTCACCCCTATTGAGGAAAACTTTTAACTTTCCTTAGGTGTCAATTCTTTTAATATAATTAATACCATTTATTAATTTTTTTAACATATACCTACTTTGTAAAAAGCAAAGAGTTTATGAATTGCTTTCCTAAAAATACATTTATTAGAATGGCTAACTCCAAGAAACTGACAATACCAAATGTTGTCAAGGATGCAAAGCAACAAGAACTTTCAACCATTGCTGGTAGGTATGCAAAATGATACAGCCACTGTGGAAGACAATCGGTAGTTTCTATAAAGTTAGACATACACTGTAGCATATGATCCAGAAATTATGCTCCTAGGTATTTAGGTAACTAAAAACTTATATTCACACAAAAACATGTATACAAATGTTTATAGAAGCTTTATTCATAATCACCAAAAACCTGGAAGCAACCATGATACCATTCAATAAGTGAATGCATAGAAAAAGAGCTGAGCACATTGGTGCACAACTGCAGTCCCAGATGCTTAGGAGGCTGAAGCAGGAGGATCACCTGAGCCTAGGAATTTCAGGCTGGCCCAGGCAACATAGTGAGACCTTGTCTCAAAAAAAAAAAAAAAAAAAAAAAAAAAAAAAAAAAAAAAAAAAAAAAAAAACAATGCTATATCCGTACAATGAAATGCTATTCCTCAATGAAAATGAATGAGCTATTTGAGCCATGCAAAAAGATTCCATTCATATGACATTC